GGGGGGAAACAAACAAAAACGGAAGCAAGTCTATAGGCTTCATAATCATGTGTGAAGAATTTGGACGTCAAAGAGGTACAATGATTCAAATTGGTAAGAGCTTGGGCGGAGACGAACATGCACACTCAGCGATCGACTTGCTACATCACTGTGGTTCAAGATTTATCATCATAAAACTTACACATCAGCAGAGTTGCAGGTGCATAGAGGTTATGATGTTGATATTCACAGTTTCCAACGACAGGATGTAAGATTATGGCTATTCTTAGTGCGTTCCTCTCTCAGCCCTTCTGACGCGTAGTCATACACTCATGCGTTTTCTTTCGCTTCCGCGTGCGAGTAGCAAGAAGAAATTTTCATGCGATCAGTTCAGGTAGAGAACACACAGTAATTCAAATGCAAGGCGTGCAATCAGATGAAGGAAAAGGACGGACAATGGATATAACTTTATACGCATCGGTCTCGCCGATGTGTGTTCCAATGTTGACACGTTCATCTCCGAAACATCAGTATAAGGTGGCTTTTCTTCTGGTTTCCTTTTAAGAGAAGAATTCAAGTCGAGTCTCTGCCATCTTGTGCTACGAAGAACTTTGAATATATCATTGGGAGGATGACTTGTGAAGCGAACACAAGAGTCACATATTTAGTCGATTACTTTATCTTTTTTTTCATTTACCAGTAGTTGGACGGTGCGTTCTCCCCAATATCGCCCTAATGCGCAAGAGTTCGTGGGAGGAAGATCAAGATGCGACAGCACCTTATTCGCTGATCGAACTTCTTTGCATTCAGGATACACATTTCTCCTGTAGATTCCTTTGAATTGTGTACAATGAACAGAACAGTTAATGATGCCAATGATGGAGCTTTCGTGTTTCCTTTGAAGGCAAAATAGTATTACTATTCAACGAACGATGAAATTTTTGTCAAAGTTGGACCACCCACGTCCATCCCCATAACTTCGAAAGCGAAGTTTCTCTATATTTTCCAGTAAAATGTACTGCAACATCGTGGGCTGATCAGAACCTACAAGAAAAAAGTGATTCAAAACAGATATGTGACGTCAGCTTTAGTTCTTTCTAAAACAGGGGTCGGGAACCTTTTTGGCCATGTGAGCCACATTAAGATTGAGCTAAATGCTTGCGAGTGAAAGATTTTCAAAACAGAATTTTTCCTGAAGTTGGCAACATACATATGCATTCTTTGATATACGAGGGAAATGAGGAACAACCATGATTTCCGGCCATGACTCAATGAGCAAAACTTTTCGGCTCGTGAGCCGAATTTGGCTCATGAGCCATAGGTTCCCGACCCTTGTTCTAGAACAAACCAACCATCTACTTAAATCATTACAACTACTTGGAAAAACCTCACGAACGACTACTTTAGCATCCATCTACACCAATTCCTCACCCTTAATGTTCACATTGCCCACAGGATAACAGCAGCCAAATAAAAAATTACTATTTCTAAAAATCTGTAAGTCGTCAGGAGCGCCAAAAATAATCTATTATTAAGCTGCCATCGTTTTCATAATTGATTATGGTGAGTACTAGTGCTCCATTATTCCCTTTAAAAGTAGGCATTAGGAAATTGTGAAAAAAAAGCAGAGTCGAAAAGGTCAAAGGCTATCGCTCCCTATACTTGACCATGGACAGAAAAAAAAAGAGCCCTCCAGGACGAGATGGTTCCTCCCCAAAACGTGGCAGCCAGAGGGGATCCACGTTTCGAAGCAACGAAATTCCGCACCGCAAGATTCCGATTCCGAAGAGCCCAAAGCGTAATTCATAAAAAAACACTGCCACAACAGAGATGGCATCAAATGAGGAGAACCGTTACGGTGTTATCGTTGCCTGCACCTCCATCGTCAGTCTCCCTTCTGTGGCCAATCCCATAACATTTTTTTTTTGTTCCCATACGATTGCTATTGACGAGGTCATTTGTTTTCAGGAAGGTTCTACTCAAAGCTGAATAAACACATCTGAACATGAAATAAAATGAGTGTCCTGCATCGCCATAACCCGGGAATAAATTAACAAGAGAAAAGAATGAGCCTCGTTTGTTAAATGTTTGCAATCAAAAGGACCATCTCTTCGCGTCTACTTATCCGTGAAGTTATATTTATGTGCATGATCTATTTATCCGGTGAACGATGCGGATAGATCCGCCATTCGGAAAACAATTTGTGCGGATAGATCCGTCATTCGGACTGTAAAGGTTAAAAAAATTAATTCTAGGGTTAAATAAGGTCCATTGAGGGTCAAAAACATCAAAATTATTGCGTCAGTCGTACTTCAGGAATTCTGTAATTATAAATGGCGAAAAACAAATAGTCGGGGGGGGGGGATGCCCAGCATTGGAAAGCACGTTCAGTACATGTCTGGATAAAGTTAACACTTACGATACTTGACGTATGACGTTCCAAGCCCATAGTACATTCAAATCGCCAGGACTGAATTACATTTATAGCCGTGAGGACCTGACATCGTCCTCAGCCAAACGTCGAGAACTCCCCTTCCTACCGTTCCCGATCAATACGAATATCTTCTCGAAATTCCTCCCGTATATACAATATCCCCAGATCTGTCGGATCAAGGCTAACTTCGCCTCTCCGTCGTCTACGGTTTCAAGTGCATTTCCGTCTCGTTTCACGACCTGACAAAATATCCGTATCGGGGTATCCGTTCTCGAATCCGAATAAGTGTGGAAAGTCATTAAAAACTACCTTATAGCAGTAATCGATGAATTTACCGATGTTAAGTTTTTCTGCTAAGTTAGCGCAGTATCCGTTCTGTAGTCCCTTTATACATTTTAGCATTGAGTTCTTTTTCGTTCATCTGTTTGATCGGTCCGTACAGATTCCGAAAGAGTCCAATTATTCTATGACAGAACTCAATGATCAATACTTCGGCCTGCGGTCTCGTTTTCCACCGATTTCCATCCCAGACGTGCTGATCGAACTTATCGTATATCATGACGTTACCTAAGACTTTCAAAGACAAGACAAGAGAGAGTCAACACGTGTAAATCCTTAAACTTTTAAATCCCACGCCCGAGTATACTCGTGATAGCTCCGTGGAATGTGTTGGCTGCTGGCTACACTGATAAGAACGTGGAATACCTATGTTATTCGAGAAGAATCGCAAGAAACATAAGGCAATAACCACGAAGAGAAAAACGTTCACATCAAAGATGAAGATACCAATGACCCAAACGTAGATGAGATGAATGATATTTTATTGAATAACTCGAAGACTCAGGACGTTTACTACGTGAAAAACGAATAGAATACTTAACCGGTGCGGATGGTAGCGTAGTATTGGGCGTAGTGAGAAAGCCAAAGCATAGCACCTGCCTCTTAACCAAGCAACTTGCTTATATGGAGACTCAACATTAGGCACAGTAACTACGGGTGGAACAAGCATTATTAGATGTTATATGGGATAAATTACTATTTAAAATAGTAATTTATGCATTTTTGCGAGCCCTAGGTCTAAATATATTGAGAATTATGAATGAATGGCTTCAGCTGGCCGTAGCGTTTTATTTGAGTGCATTTGCGTCTAAGCATAAATATAAAGCGTCTAAACAAGAGGAAAAAACCACTCCTGTGGACATCTTTACAAGGTGACCACTGCCGAGAGGATTTCAGTAATCTAAAAATGCAATCCGTTCTTCATGGCGGCGTGATGGCCTATCACGCCGTGACGCCTTGCGTCAATGCTTCCAACAATCCACATATTTGAGGACTATGTCGTGGTAGCGATCCGCAAAGTGGATCAATTTTGCAAGCCGCAAAGTTGCACTTCGGGCATACATTTCAAGTGCATCCGAGGGGGACTGGCTTAATTCTGCCATACATCTTCTTCCTTAGAAATGGGAATAAATTCTAAAGCTATCAGGCGACAAAATATTATGACCTAACAGTAAGTGACTCGGAGACTTGGATTTCAACAGTAGTGGAACCAGTGCAGCAGGCTGCCTGTTATTTATAGAGCTTCCAAGATGTCGCCTTTGCAGGTTCTTCAGAACCCAATATGCCTAATAAAATGTATTTTGAACAAGCATAATGATTTGGGTTCTTTTACTCAATCCATTAAGCCTATGAGGTTGAAATTGTGTACACAGTATTTCATGACTAAATAAATAAATAAATAAACATTTCGCAAAACTCATCCAATGTCTAAAAATGAGAAATTTAGAGGAGACACAAATTGGTGAGCCACACGTGCACATCGAATGTGACCATAAACAAGGTCCCGTCGTAGAACTTGATTGTTAAGCGACATGATCCAACACACACATTTAACCTCCTTAATCTAACGGTTATCAATGCAACGTGACATGTTGTTTAGCTACTCAACCTTACTTCCCACTACGAGGTGAGGTTGGATGGGGGAGGCGATGGCGAGATCCAAAATATCCTGCTCATTATCAATCTGGTCAGTGGAGCACCTGTTCTTCACCTTTCCTTCATCGTGCGATCATCGTTATCAGGGAATTCTTCGACGGGTCTATAGTTTTCGGTCATTTATTTCCGATCGGGTGGAAGTAAAGCGAAGCTGAGTCTACAGTAGGAGAAGACTTGGTAAAAGATCCGGAGCAGAGACAAAGCTCGGCGGATCTTTTCAGATCGCTAAAAATTAAAGAAAAAAAAACCGTCCTAAGAAAATAATAATAATAATAATAATAATAATAATAGAATGGCGGCTTTCTATCAATCTTATTTCAATGTTTTTTCTCGCTTTCTTCTCATCCATACACGGTCAACATGGGCTCTCTTCCGAAAGTCAGACAGAGCCCTCTGCACGATATGCACGGGGCCTTTTCGAACCAGGAGAGGCAAGCGGGTCTCTGTTTTTTCTCTCTCCTCTCTCTCTCTCTCTCTCTCTCCCTCTCCCTCTTGTGTACGGGCAACCAACCGCGATGCAGGCCCCGAAGGCACAGGTCAGCTAACCAACGTGAAGCATTCTTGAGGCTGCATGGCATGGGCTCCTGCCACACTCATAGTTGAGGCGCAGAGGGGAGGCAGGACTCAGGGACGAGGGGAGTGAAAGATTCAGGCTCAACTCCGTGCGTGCATCAGTCCCAGTCCGCTCCGAGTTCGTGCAGTGGCGGCCGTACCGAGATCATACACAGAGAAGCGGACTCATTAACCTTAAAACGGGAGAGTTTCTTCTCCATCTCAAGGAGAGCATGAGTGAGCGAGAACACGTCATCCCAGTGCCGCCTCAGTGATCCATCCAAATGCTGAAGAAACAGACCGAGATGCTGCACATGAAGGCTCTCCGGATGTGGAGGCAATATATCCCGAAAAGGTGAGAAGAGTTCCTCAGACGGGACTCCTTTCTTTTAATATCCTTCTGGTCATTTCGGTCGAGGAGAGACATCGACTAGCCCGCTTGGCTCGAGGGCTGGTTCATCGACCTTCCTTTATGCATCGAAGCATTTCCTCGTTCTCGTCCTGCTCTACGCTTCCTCGTTTCTTTACTTCCTCTTACCTATGCAGTAATTAAATCAAGAGAATGGCCAGGAAATCGTCCCTCCTTGGTACCAGGTGTGATCCTTCATCGATACATGCCACAATTTATTCAAGAAATCTGAGGTAATCATGAGTTGCCAGTCTCAAGAGAATAAATAGAAGCAATAGCGCACCTTTGTTCTCCTCAGCAAATTGCTAGGCCTGACGTAATGTTGGTAGTTCTTTGGCAAACCATTCAGAAGGGTTAGGAGGCGCGGGCTGTCGAGAAAGAGCATTTGTGGTATTCGATATCTCCAGACAGTCAGTTATTATATGAAAGATGCGTGTAGGAAGGGATAAGGTCAAGTAGACTTAATTGAATAATACAATTTTGTTTAAAATAGGCCTATAAACTTTTTATTATTATTTCATTTCTCACGTACTTCAAACAGTATATGGGAATCTAGCCAACCATAAGCATTAAGGGTCACTGTTAGGAATACAAAGCCAAACGAATCCCCACAACAAAAAAAAACTTCTTTCCTAGTCAATGCAAATAGCTTTCCTTTCTTTAAAAACTCAGCTTACATCTCTTTTTAACGGGGACTGATATGCAATCAGAATTCAACGAGGGAAGGAAACTGCATGAATTCTTGCAGCGCATGCGCGGAATGACATGCCGCACCGCCTTCGGTTGGCGATCTTACTTTGGCATTAGAGACAAGTGCCAACAATCAATTTCGATTCTTAGTATGCACCATCTCTCGGCAAAAGTGACCCCAATTTAGCGGGGTCAACGAGACAGACGAACTCCTTAATGAGACGGGGACCGCAATCAAAATCACAATACCCGTACAATGGATACAGTTACCACATTCTCAAGATATGACTGCAAAGACAATCGAGGGGCTTATCTTATATCGCCATATCATGTGCCCGCCATATTTTCCAGCCGTTCTCATGAAAGGGAAAAAGAACCTTAAAAAAGAGAGAGACGTGGCGAGTGAGGCACGAAGATCGGTCAACAAGTGGGGAGGAACGGGACCAATGGCAAGGCCGTTAGCAATTTCCCTCAAGTCAACGCAAAGGCACTGGAACCCGTGAGAGAATTCCCTGGGTTTGTTGACTCGCTCTTCCCCAGGTCCAGCCAGCAATTATGTCAGGAGATGAATGACGATAAAGCAAAAGGACTCCTTCCATACATCAGCGTCCTTCCTTTAGGTCTATATTTTGAAATGGGATGAGTAGACGTTGACTAATAATGAGTCTCGAAGCCATTTCCATTTTTCAATGATCATGACAGTTCCTGGCAACTGTGGTCGCCTCGTTACCGTGGTTTTACAATAATGGGAAATCCCTGCTTCAAAGTTCCCCCGATGTGCAAATTCTAATGTAGAGACCTTGAACGGCCCACGGCGATAGATATTCCTTAAACTCAATAAACTTTCACATAGCGACGCTGAGAACTACCGTCACTGGTTGGGTGACCACGTGCACCACGCTTTGGCCCAAATGTTCAAGACGAAGACGTCCTTTCTCGTTCGTGTTACTCAGGCACACCCACTCGCTATCATCCCGTACTCCTAAAGTTTCATGATTACAACGCATGCGGCATGGAAGGCGGTGTCACTGATTCGCCAGATGAAATGAGTCACTGTTCATAATGAAGCAGGGCCACCCATATCTTGGCATTTTCACTCGGTCATGATCGGGAGAAAGGTAGCGGAGAAGCGAGAGCGAGACCAGAACGGCATCGACTTTCTATCATAAGGCTGCCTTTCAGATCAAGGTTGCACGCGAGTGAATGGACTTTCGTGTTGATCTGAGTTGGTCATCGTCCTCACATCGTGCCCCATATTCCAATACAAGTAATAAAAAGTGGTTCTGAGGGACCATCCCATTCAATTCTTCCTTTCATTCAATTCAACTAACTTCTGATGGCGTGAGGAATTTTTCGGAAACCGCGTGCATGGCATTCATGCAGCAATAACTGCTGTTCCATCTTTTTCAGACTTTCAACCGCACTATGGCCTTGCGGTTAATGACTTCAGAGGAACAAAAAAACCTCTGCGATTTCATTCGAGTTGACAGTCACGACGTGTAGTGAGAAAAATACTTGAAACATGTCACTCGGATCGTTACCACTCAAGCGAAAGGAGAAAGGCATCAGGAGCTGCTGAAGGTCAGAGGGTAGAGGAACGAAAATTCATGATGCAGATTACTCACATTTTCTTCACGCCACCGTGTCAAGCGAAAGGAACAGGCTTCCTACCTTTCCCTGAGATTTTCAATGGCTACACCAGCTTATATAGCCGCGAGATTCAAGACCTTAAAAGTATGGTAAAAAAAAAAAAAGGGGGGGGGGTGAAATGATAAGATTAGTGTTAGCATTAGCAAAGAAAAAAAGCACAAGAATTGGGGAAACGTTAATGGCACATTGTGCCTGGAATGATTGTGTCAAAAGCAGATAATACCTGCCTAGAAACTACATTAAGCAGTACAGTCAAATCAGTTTCATGCAAGCGAAGCATTTTCTTCAGCTCCTTTTACCGTCAATTGTGAGGTACACCGCCACGCCATTCCCTATAGAAGGAGAATATCTACCACTAACTACAGCAGCAGATTCCATCGTTAAACTGTCCTCCTTCAAAGCTTTTGCCTGTGTTAGCAACCGCATATCTGATTGACCCGTTCATCAAGAGGCCGGCGCGCACCATCCTTGGCGTGAAAGTCATTTCTCTTCGTCTTCGCTCGCATGTGAATATTTGGAATTCCATCACTTTCTCAAAAGGCGAAGGACCTCATGTACCTTCGTTCATGCGCCAAGCATCTCATCAAGGCAATAGGAGACGCCCATGTGCCCACGTTCAGCAACAAGATACCGCTGAACACTGAATGTGTGCGCGCGTTTTTTTTAAGGACAGTCTGCTCGAAGAATTACTACACGAAAGACGACTGACAGAACTGTGAAACTGCATAAATATTACTTACTGTATGTCAGTCTGCGCGAAGTGGGCTCGTGTTGGGTAGTCTTGTACCTTCTCACAGCAAATACTGGATATGGTTATCTCTCATGTTGTCACACAATTCATCATGTCCGTAAAAACAATATAAAAATTATGTTTTAAAAACATTACACGAAGGACATGGCTTACATGAAAAATCCATATACGCTGGACCACTACACGTAGGCAAAAATTGATTACATAATTGCTGAAATTCCTGTGAGTATGTTAAATAGTGAAAGATCAACATGATTCGCATAGCAGGTTCGTGTGTGGAGATGGGAGATGGACATTTCCAGCATTTGCTAAGAGGACAAAAGACAAGTCAATGCAAGCTGCCATCGTGGTTGATATAAAGCAATATCCCCATTTTATAAAAAACGCTTCCCGAGTTTTTTGAGAGGATATAGCCATATCTTTTCCTGTTTGTTTCCCAAAAGTTCGAATTCTATATCGTAGGGAGAGCACCGTCTCGCAGGCTGCACCTCCTTTTTTTGAAAAGGTACAAAGTTCCTGCAAAGTTTCAAGGATGTACATCAATTCGCCCTCGTATATCGATTCTTTTTCTTGGCAAGCTGGCTTTTTTTTTTTTTTTTTCAAATGTCACCAGGAAAAGTACTTCCCCTGCGATCATGCCACACCACGTGATGAAATGATCTCTCTTCCTTTTCCAGACTAAGCGAGGTGATAGCCGTCCTCTCGGTAACGGCAACGTTTTTCCTCTTCATTCACACGACCTCACTCAACAGTCGTCTGAAGGAAATCCAACAACAGCAAGGATCCTATGGGTCTCTCGGCCGCACTGGGGAAGGCATCTCGGAAGAAGGCGACGTCGCCAGTGGTCTGTCCCATTTCCCTTCATCATATGTAATTAGTACACCTTATTGCTATCCATTGCCAATCGACGGGAATGACAACTTCCGAATGGACCAATTTGGATGAAGCTATTAGTTGGGAATCGAGGTCGATCAGAGATCACAGATAATTACAGTTGGCGCAGAGGTTGACACGAATACGAGACAGGACAGTCGACGAGACCGGTTTTAAACTTGAAAGGTGACCCAAATTCGGGTCATTCTAGTCCTTTCTTAGGAATTTCACAATACACAAGGCTTTTGGGGGTTTCTGGACTGTAGCTGTTGAGAGCGTAGCAATCATGCACGGATTTTCTCTTGAGCAGCGGGTCCTCGTTTTGGCGTGTTTCTGGCTATGACATGCAAGTTGCTCGATGAAAGAATCGCTTCTGAAAAGATATAATAGCCGTGATTCGACGTCATATTCAATGGAACCCCCCTAGCTATGACGGCCACTGCCAGGACACGGTCCCTCACACAATAGGTCTCCAAGGTGTTTCTCTATTGTTCTAAAATCATCTTACCGAGCTGGTCCTTTGTGTCCTCGAAGGTAGCTTCAACCAGATGAGTTATAGTGTCTGGGAAGGACTCTGATCCAAGCTGCGAAATCCGGAACAATACCTGCACAGATCAATTATGAGAAATGAGAACACACTGCATTTCATCATCTCTACGCCTGTTTCTCTAAAATATGAATGGATCTTCCTTATTGTATGGATTTTGTTTGCCCCAAGTGGCAGCTAGGAGACGACTGAAAGCTCCCATTTCATCTCAAGAGGGATAATAATGACCTGGCGCAGCATCACCCCTAGACATGCATAATGTTGATAAGCAGTCTATCCAAGTCACAAGTTCCTCCATGCAGATACGGAAGAAGCTCGGGGGGCAATATCTGATTTTTTAATAGTGAATTCAAGCTGCAATCCCGAATGTTGCGAAGAAACGCTTCAATGAGCTTCGACTCTTGGAACGCGCTACTTCCAAACAAAGAATAACCCAGAATTTCGTCAACGCCTGACTGCTCATGTAGAACTCTGCTGAAGGAAAAACTGAAAATGCCCCCCCCCCCCCCTTCTTGACAAGCTTGCAATGGTCATCAGGTGAGAGAAAACGTGGGGAGAGCGAGGGCCAGGAAAGGGATTGAGGCAGGCCATTAAACGATGAACATGCGCTATCCGGCTTCGAGGATCCAATTATCCACCGTTAGGCGAATGTAGTGTCTGTGTGCTGGTCAGTTCGCGGAGTCTTCTCTCAAGTCTCGTCTGAGCTGTATTGAGAGCAAGGCCTACATTCCCCTCGTCGTCCAGTCCAGTCCAGCCCGGCGGGTGTCTCTCTCTCTCTCTCTTTCTCTCTCTCCTTCCTCTCCCTCCAAGCATACTACAAGCTTCTTCTGGAGCCGGTCAGGCGACCCACTCTCCAGCCGGATGCTGGCGAACTCGGAATAAGATCACCGTTGATCATCTGTTACCTCACATCCATTCCTCCACACTTTTTTTTCCTTAAATGAGAAACGCGGGTCAATAAATAATCTATTGTCGTGCCTCAACAGGAGGCCGCATTCTTGCCAGATCGCCCTCGCTGTCTTCTTTTGAAATAACCAGCAGGAAATTAATGGGGGTTAACGGAGAAGAGCCACCTGAGTGTCAACCGTGCGAGAAATAGTCTATTTTTCTCCTTGTTAATCCCGAGTGAGAAGAGAAAGGCTAAACCGGCCATCCACCCTTCCCTTTTCCCAACCGGACTTTTACCACGCATGAGTGAGAAGGTGAATGAGTGTGTCCATCTAAAACGAAGCTTACGCGAAAGCTAGACACACAAAAGGAGAAAAGGGAGAAGGTGCTTCCTGGATTGCTTTCCTGCATCGGAACTCTTCCCCTTTCCTGGTCAAACAGCTTTTCAACTACGAGAGAGTTAGGGAGACGCAGGCCATTACACGTTATCAAACAAAGTCCCATTCCATCTCTATTGCAGGGGCCGAGAGACACCAAAAGAGGGAGGCATTTTCCTTCCCCGCTTCTAATGTAAAGGTAAGTCGAATTTCTAGCCAACCTTCTTGGCATATCTCATCAATTTACAGCATTTCATTTCATTGGCAACTAGTCGAATTGATTCTGTGCCTTCTCAAGAAATGATGAGTAGCGAAAGCGAAATTCAGAACTAAGTTTAGAAGTTCATTACACTGCTGTAAGACTCGATGACCAAAGATATGGCGACACTACTTTCTGAACACGTGTTGCATGACAAAACTCATATGGTCGTCCCCTGCAGATCTCAGCTAAGGAGCTCAACAACACCGCAAATGCGGACAAGGAGCTTCTGTTCTTCAACAGAGTACCCAAAGTCGGAAGTCAGACAACCATGCACCTCCTCAATATCCTTTCTCGGAAAAATCACTTCTTCTTCCACAAAGACAAGCCAAACCGAGTGGAAGCCATCAAGCTCTCCGACAGAGAAGAGGTGAGCCCAACCAGAACTATGAATTACCATCGCTGACAACTAGAGCGGGCATTGAAAAGAAATAATAAATAAATAAAAGTAAAAGCAGTGTATGATATCCGATGACAATCTCAAAGGCGCAAAATCAACCACTTCTCATCACTGTTGAGAACATAAAGGTGTTTGCACAACGTAAAGGAGAATTTTTAATTTGTTCATATTACACAAAGATTTCTTCAACTTTTTTATTTCTCTCCATGAAAGTGTTGGTCCACGCTCGTAACTGTTTACTTCTTTTCTTTCAGAAACGGCTCACAGCCCTGATAGACACATTCAGGACGCCAGCTGTCTACATCAAACATGTGTGCTTCTGTAACTTCACCAAGTGAGTCGAACGTATTGCATTATGAGTTTATGGTACTTCTGGCCCGGCAGTAATAGGTACTTGTAGGCTCCCAACGGTTACGGTAATTCAGATAACATAGCTTTCTTGCTGACAGATGTAGGGGCCTGCATTCATTGGCGTCTCGCTTCACTTCATTCATGAAGTGGCTTGGGGACTTTAATCGGAATGCTCTAAATAAGAATTGTGACCCCACTCCATGACAGTCCTCCATACTGTTAAAAACCTTTTACATAAAAAAACGTAACATTTTAATAGCACTCAATCCCGACACCCTGAAGTTGCAATATCCTATTTCCCGCTTTCTGTGTGAGCAGCTGGAGCATAGCACCAAAATTGCCGGAAATTATAACCAAAGAAATAGGAGATAACACATAATAACATTTTTCCCGTCGCAGATACGGCTTCAGGCAGCCCATCTACGTGAACATGGTACGAGACCCTGTTGAACGGGTGATATCATGGTACTATTACATTCGAGCACCTTGGTATTTCGTCGAACGAAAGAGGAATTTCCCAGAATTGCCTCTTCCTGACCCTCGATGGCTCCGTAAGGTTCGTTGGAATTCCTCCTTCTACAGTACTTTTTAAATCCCACCCAAGAACATCACGTCATAACAGAGGCAACGCTATTAATTATGGCATAACATACAATACCCAGACATTTCCATAAATTCATGACCCAAAAAAGGCATAGGGGCAGTAAAATGTCTTTTGGGGTCTGTACCGAATTTCACTATTCACTTTAAGTTCATCGTGCCAGTTATTTCTTTTCCGGTAATGTACAGGGGGCCGAGTGCGAGAAAGGCATTTTTTACAAGGGCAAGCCCACGTCAACTCAACTCAACAACTCAAAATAGAATATCTCTCGTGCTGTGTGCCAGATAAGTGACGGAATTCTCACAGATGTTGGCGATGATGCAATTACCGGGGCTCAGAAATCTTAGGAAATCGGCAGTCGACACCTAGACCCATTTTGTCGAGTAAACTCAATTTTTATGATTTCAAATTCCCAATATACTCTATTAATCAATCAATACCGAGCTAATTACAAGAAGTTGGTGCAATAAGGTCGAATGCAAATTTTTCTTCGAATTTTAGTCTCCATTTCTTTTCCATTTAAACGAATTAAAAAATTCTTGAAACGGGAAATTAGTTCTCGGCCACGCCAAAGTGATAAGAGGAAAGTTCTGACACCATTCCAAGGTCGGTACGTTTTCAGTCTACAAACATTAAATGGTTATTTCAGTGTCAATTTAAAAAAAAGTCGCCTGTAGGTTCTTACTTTATTGACACCTTGTATTTTACATCCTCAGCTCTATGCATTATATGGGACGAACTTGGCAAATCCTAGCAACAAGAGCAAATAAAAAAATGCAATCCTCTCGCAAATTTGAAGGCAAACTCAGATTCTCTAAGCACAATAAGGTAGAGATGTCAACTTCATGAGGTCAAATGCAGGCATGATGTATTACCAATTTTCAAATTGACAGGATTATGAGACTTGTGTTCAGTCCCACGATAAGGAGTGCCAATACCTAGATGGAGAAGTAAGAGACGACTATGGGCAACTCACAGAATTCTTCTGTGGTCAAAACGATGAGTGCACGTAAGTAAGCCATCCCTTACCATCAGAAGCTTTGTATCAGGCTGATTATCACAGATCAGAACATGGTAATATCTCCTTGATGGACAATTGAGAATATAGAGACTATACAAGGCTTCGATGGAAGGGATGATCTCATTCACCTACCTCCACCAAGTTGTATCCCTCTCTCTTTGCACAGGACTTTGAAACTTGTGTACTTTCTGGAGATCCTGAATGCCAATATACACAAGGTGAAAGAATGAATCTGCGTGACCATCGACGTCAGACTCTCTTCTTCTGTGGCCATGATGATGACTGCTTGTAAGTCTTCGAAACTCTCTGTCCTGTCTTTTTTACCCTGCATGAACTCCTGCCCTCTTATTTGGTGTGCTCAGCTTTCCCATGGCCACAATCCTCTATCTTTCACATTCCTATTTCCTCCTTACACATCCTAGACAGATTATCTGAAAATCACTATGGTCATTTCTTTCCCACAGAGGATTCAATGAAGATTTCCCCTTACAACAAGCAAAGCAAAATGTCGAGAAAAATTATGCAGTTGTTGGTATCCTGGAGGACATGAACAAGACTTTGACTGTGCTAGAGCACTACATCCCTCGGTTCTTCAAAGGAGTTAAGGATATTTATTATGGTAAGGCCTTAGATGAATTATTTAATATAAGCACAGGTGTACATAGCTTCTCTAAACTGTCTGGGGGAGAACATAGAAATGGCTTCCCTTGGAAAAGATAATCATTTGCTTCCATTTACAGGGAGGACTATGAGTAAAAGTATGGGGCCTCAGATTTTTGCTATATTTTAACGCCACAATCCACATGGGTTCATAATGATTGCCCTGCTATATTTAATTTGTATATTCACAGTGTTATTTATTGAAAACTTACTGAGCATCTTAGCACTCACTTAACAGAACCAGCACCACTCACTCATTTATTATTCACCACTTACTTAAAGGACTTCCCATTGTTAGTAATAATCAAGAAAGATTCCTCATGAAAAGTAAATTCAAAAGGCATGAACACAAGAAATCAGATAAAAATGCGAAAAAAAAGAGGGATTTGTACATTGATTTAAATTCTGTTTCTTTAATTTTCAATTATGTGAAAATTAAAAAAAAAGTATTCTACTTTCATAGAATTCCATCTTCTCCCATGTCCATTTATGTCAACAATGACTATAGCACATTAACTTACCAAAAACTGAAATTTTATTCAACAATTATTTATGTGCATATACATGGTGTTCGAAAAGTCACTGTGCAGTAGAATTCATTTATTTCATTGCATGTAATTAGTATTGTACTGCATATCACATGTATTGCATCATCAAAGACATGAATTTCCACTCAATACTTCATCAAATATTAGCACCATCCCCAACTCACATAATTTATTGTCTGTAATTCCTAACTACAATGAGGCCTCCTGTCATGTTGTGAATTCTACTGCACAGTGACTTTTCAAACACCCTGTACAAGGTATTCATATTCAAATGCAACATAGGGGAAAACTTGCCACCAATTTGTGGAGTTCAGTGAGTGCCATAAAGCTTATTGGGTTGCATATCTGTAAGGATAAAGACTATCACTAGTGTGTTGTTTTGTGTTTCCTTGCAAATACACAACCCAGTGGGCCTTGTAGCATTCACCAAAATCCACTTACAGGAAGCAAATACTTCCCATGTAGCACTGAAATACAAACACTCTGTATGTGGGCAAAGTCATTACAGACTTTTTTAAATTAATGGCTAATGAATTTCATTTATTGAAAGAAGTCTTGGTTTTGGAGGTGAAGCTGTAAATTTTCATGCATAAATCCAATGTTGGATTAAATATTTCAGGTATGAATGCCTTAAATAAATAAAAATTTAATTTGAATTCCATACTTCGGATATCTCAGGTTTATACTTTGATAACATAAAAAAACCATTTGCATGGGATCTGAAAATTTTTGAATGAAAAAATTGCTCATAATGGGGTTTCACATAAGTTTTTGAGAAAACAAAGCATTGATTCAGCATGAGTCCTGAAAAAAAAGATAGGTACCCTTGATGGAGCTTCACCAGGTTATTAACACTAAATACCACTTTGACTAGTTCTTCACCCCCCACGAAAAAAGTAATATAAAAGATTCATTAAGAAAATTCAGTATTACAAAAAGCAGACAGAAAAGTTCACAGAAATTAGGAATGATGATTGCCCATGCTTACTGTGATGAACAGATTGCACAGCTAAAGGGAGTGATTTCTTTGTTTTCCAGAGGAAATAGCACAGTTTACAAAGCTCAACAGGAACATCTATAAGCCTTCAGTTGAGAAGAAGGTGAAAGACATTGTGCGACTGAACTTCACAAGAGAACTGGAGTTCTACGAGTTCTGCAGACAACGCCTCCACTTACAATATCAAGCCTTAAATCTTGTCTGACATTGGAACCAGTTTGATCACACCATCTCTGTCGACCAGGAACCTGGATCACCTCAAGAAACATTCTGACCATTTTGTTTTACATTTATATCAAAGGATGCAGATGCAGTTACAGTGTGGATGTTATCACTTAATTTTTTTGTTGTATCACACTGTTGATCCCATTTTTTTGCAGGATTAGTCAGACACACAATGTTCACTTTCATTTTAAACTAGTCCAAAAATAATGGGAGAGTGTATGCTAGAAGAAATGTGATCACATCTCATCCTTCTCATTTGTCACCAACGTATCACATGAATACTCATTTGCATAACTTCAATAGGTCTTGTGGGAATTTAGGAGCAAGGTACACTCCTCTAGACTTGTCACAAAAGCATAGTTTAAAAAAAAATTTCTCCTGCCTTTTTGCAGGGATGGGAATTTGCACTTTCTTGAGAAACTGCTACATGCTCTTTAAAACTACAAGGAACTTGTTAATCTCATGTTGGATTCTCATGGAAGTAGCTATTAGAGCATGAATCTTACCTACAAATACATAGACCCAAATTTTAAAGACAGATCTTGATCTTAATGGATGAGTTTCTTGTCCTGTACAAATGACATTTCACATAAGGCAGCACTGATCATTCTCCATGACTTTGCATGGGCTTGGTAAAGTTTCATTTCATGCATGGGTTCAAGAATCCCATTCCAGAGTTCCACTTTGTTTGCTTGATGGTGGCTTATGCCATGGACTTTCAGTGGAGACTGTGATACATTGTTAATGGGAATTTTGTTTTTTATGTGGAAAATAAAAAACCATGGCAAGCGCTTATTTGAAAGAAAACAGAATGAAAGAATAAAATTTCCTTTGAAAATGGAACATGATGTATGTATTTGCCTTAACGTGATGGTCATGTAACTTGGCATCTAACTCCTGAAATTGCAATAATATTGCAATAATAAGATGCACTAACATAAAGAACATGCTACCAAGCAGATTATGCCTGAAGGGGGACAAGGAAATTTTTGTTGTACAGTATTGGTATATCATTTCTTGTATGATCATATGGTCACTTTCTAACATCTTTCCTTTCAATGTGAAACTAGAGCACAATTGTGGCTCCACTGCCAATTGAAAGTTGGGAAGGAAGTAACATTTGGGTGGGGAAATTGTCAATGGCCATGCTAATTGCTTGGGTTCCAATCAGCTAAGTGTCTGCATGTATAGGAGGCTAAAATAAGCACGCCACTTGGACTCCCCCAGTGGAGTTCCATTTCACCATTTCCTTCAAAATTTTTCAGACAAATGGAGGCTGTAGACACCAATCTTTTACTAACTTGGTCCTAGAACAGTGACAAGATTCCAATAGAATGCATTCAACAAAACTTTACATTTTATACGCTGCTGAGTTAGTCAGATGAAAAGAGGCATATGGAGTCAGTCACCTATTCCTAATGGAGGGTGACTTCAACCTACCCTCTCAGAACCTCCATGAGAGACAAGGCTGGTAAATGCTATCAAATAATGCAAGAAGAAAAACCACCTCAATAGAAAAAGCAAAAAATTAAATTATTCATTTTGGCTACTATGGTCAATAGCCCCACAAAAACTACGAGGAGTTTTTTGTTTATATACCTGATTCAAGGTCAAAGTCACCCAACAAAAGACTATTGAAACTAGCTGATCAATTTGGAAAAATATACATTTTCTTCCATTAGATACAAGAGAAGTAACTAACAAAATGAAGTGTATGAGTGAATATTAAGTTACATAAAATGCAAAGCTTCCCTAGCCATTCAACAATGTGACATACTTATGGCAGCACATTTGAACAGGATGGGCAAGCCCAGTCCAGTAGTGGGCCTCCTTTCATTTAAGGAGACCCACATTTTGTCATCTAATTGAACAAAATGCTGTTTCTTTCTGGTGCTCAGCCATCAAAAACATCATTTTTCAGGTAGGTTTGAAAATCTACCCATGGTGCCCATGAAATGATGATGGGAGGATGGAGGGTTTTGCATGCTTGGAACCATTCACCACAAAGGTTGGTAAGAATCTGACAGCTCTAGTTGCTGACATGGCACTGTGCCCAAGGCCTGGGTTATATGTGCAATGTGATCCAGATCCTGAAAGGCCCAGGGATATTCTGCCTTCCCCTCCATGACCAAATTTCAAATCCAAAAATTGTAATAATAATACCTTTTTTGGTGCAAATTCGCAACAAAACAAACTCAGCCTGTATCTTGTTAATATTTAACTGCTTGCCAATTTTTGCATTGATCAGGCCAATACTTTCTTAATTGTCATCAGACAACCAAAGTGTGACACATGAATGGACCAGGGGTTGGCAACCTACAGCCCATGAAGTGATTTTATCTGGCCAACCAAGCACTCCAAGAGGAGAATAATTTTCATTTTACTTTTATTTTCAAAACCTCATACTCCCTCCTCTGGTCAGATCAGCACCACAATCAATTATACAATCTGGCCCACCATAGGACCAAGCCATATTAATCAAACCCAAACTTAGTGAAAGGTTGTCGACAATTTGATACAAATGAGATACCTCAAAAATGAATGCTGTACAATCAGTCAATGCAATATCCAATGTAACTCTTTTTTTTTTTCCTGAAATTTCTTTACAATAAAATTTAAAGATGATGGCTTCCTGAGTTTTTTCCCCACAAAAAAAACTCAGTCATACCAATTTATAATACCATACCTAAAACCCTTAACCTTAACCATAAAACATTAACCCTTTGACTGTTATAACACAGGGGGGATGGCTGACATATGTTTCCATATAAAAATTGGCCCTGCTTGTTTAAAAGCAATAGTATATGTAAGATAATTTCATATCATGATAACTATTGAAGATAGCAATTACATGCATAAATAGCTGTGAAGTAACCTAAAAACAGTGAATGTTCTGAGCCTGAGAACATACCCATGCTACCACTGCATAAGCCTGAGTATGTACTTGGGCAAATAGCCAAAGGGTTAAGCAGCATAACTTGAAGCGAGAGCATGGAACCATGCAGCAGATGCTGCAAGGTAATCTTTCTGAAGGATGGTGGAGAACCATCCACAAGAAGAGACCATTCATGGATCTCCTAAATGAGATCAAACGACAGTATCCACAGTGAGAAGGCGACACAACTTATAACACACAACTACAAGACCATTTGACATACTTGGTTTTTTAAAAATCTATTGTGCCCAACTCTACTATACGACTTCCACTTTTCTTCTTAAAAGACCTGTACTCGCATCATGCCATCTTCATTTGGATGGAACACATACTATAATGAGGTCACAGAGACCTTTGAGATTATGTTAGAGTGAAACAAAGCCACATGAGCAGCAATGGCATCTCGTGTCTGTTAGTAGCCACAGTAGAAGTATGGACTGAGATAGAAAGGTACTTCCTTTGTATCGAGCCAAAGTTTTCCCTTCTATTGTCAACTGATGGGTTGTACAGCTTACCTTACAAGTTAATGATGTTGACTTCATCCTGATGTTTCTTTGGTCTTGGAAGCATGCAGTGCACATGCATTTGGGGGTGTGCGCATAACCTAGTCAAGGGTGCCCATAGTGTGCACATAATATAGGAATACTGTGAGTTGTCAATCAAAATGAAGAAGACACTCCTACATGAGTAAGCCAAGTTTTGCAATGAAATAGCATTACTGATGAAAATACTTGTGAAGGTGAAAGTCTATCATATTAAAACTTTCACCTTCAGTAACAAGGGTGCATATGTTGAACACCATGAAACACAAGTTCTTAGAGCAATTGATTGTGGTCTATGAATAATTAAAAATGAGTTGACAGCAAGTAAAGTATGGTGACGTTACATGTGAATGAATATATAGTATTTGATGGATTATGGACCCTTTTGGATACAGGCATGTTTTGGGTAATCTCACCATATATAGATATGACATGGCATATATGGACAGTATATGATGCATTTGTATGAGCCAATGTATGAAAATGTATGGAGTCCTATGTATTCTCATTATTATATGATTTTAGGTGTCTTGTGTCAAACCCCCATATATGTTTCACATATGTTCATATATGAATTGTACTATATGGTCATACATGCCCCATATATGTTAGACTGGCTATGGCTATATGGTCATTTCATGTATGGTTTTATATGAAATTTTCACATGGGATAAATCCTACTTGGAATTGTGATATTCACATAGCACCTGGTCAATTAAGAACACAGGTAAATTTGAAAGATTATATTTTTCTGATCATCCTTAGGCTTACATACTTCATTGCAAGCTGTCTTCTTGATAGGACTCTAATGTTCTGCACCTACTTATCACTCATCACATCAACATCCACTTGCTGCATAAAAATCCTAGGTTTGTCATATGCTAGTAGGGATGGTTATTGACTGGTCAATATTGTCAGTAGGTTGATAGGTAGACACCATGACCACAACAGCTGGTGACCAGAATATATATTTCTGCTCTTATTCTACATGTAGCCATTCATGTGTGTGAGCTCCACCATATTTAACCTCCACAACAGGGTGACCACTTTTATGTGAACACATCCTGTGAGCCATAAATTAATGAAGAGGTCATCTGGACTCATTCAATTTATTAGAACAATAACAAATATACCCAATTTACAGTTTGGTTATGTTGTAGTCTCGCCTTGAGATGAATGTTGCCTGATCTAGCCCTCTTACAGTCCCTCTCCAAGAACACTACTTCTTTTTGGTGCATACACTATTTTTGGATTGAATTGATACCCCCCTATTGTGGAGAACAGAGAAAACACAAGCTTTCCAGACAATCCTGTAATGTCAAGCCTGCTGCTCTGCATGGTTTTTGGATGGTTCTATTAATACTTCACCTTCTATCCACAAGGTGTCCTGCCTGTACTTGATGGAAGCACTCCTGGGGGGGGTATCAATTCAATCCAAAAACAGTGTATTGCACCTCAGCATCTGATATGCTTCCCCCAAACATACTGAGTATAATCTTGGAAAATGACCAAGAGATGTATGCTGAAATGTGCCAAAAGCAGTAACTGAATTTCTTATCAGTCATTCCATACAATGTTTCACTTCATTTCACATCTGGGAAGTAAAAAGAGAAAAAATTCTGTCATCCATGTTCGTAAATGCTACTAAGTGAATGTAAGTCAGCTCAAAATCCACACAACTGATTGGGTGCAAAGCAGGTGTTTGCCAGACTGATGAAGCCTGACTAATTAAAGATGTCTCATATGGGGAAGTGAGGAAATTCTTCCTTGGCCGGGGGCAACTGCTATGAAATCAACTTCTGAAATCACCCATTAAAGGCTCTATTCCCTACTCATTGCTTGGCCTTAGAGCAAGCCCTCTGCCCTGACTATATGCCTTTTGTAAATCCTGCAACTTACTTGGGTTGAAATTGCTAAAAATGAAAAATAAAAAAATAATAATAATAATTTAAAAAAAGCAATATACATGGCACTAGTAACATGATGAAAGTCATCACTCTGGAATATCCAACAGCTTTAACGACTTTCAGGCCTAACCTTTGACATCCTTTATCACATCAGAAAGCCAGCTCGTCCAAAACTTGGAGGCCGAGCTCTCTTCTATTGAATGTGTCATGAACTGAAGAGGCGATACGAGTCAGGTGACTTCCTGCTTGGCCAATAGACACTGCCAAAATATTTACCTACTCCAATCATAGCAAACAAAACTTTCTAAAAACGCACCTTTTTTTTCACGGTGACGTCTCAGCTGAGCCTACATCTGGCCCTTTCAACAACTTCGACAAAAGTAAATCGCCTCCCAGGAAGATAGGTTCAGGCCAAAGCTACAAACGCATTTTTGAAACGCCCGACCAAGCCATGCACTTTG